CGCTGAATATCCAGGTATTGAGTAGAGGTAGCTTCCAAAATTCGGATACCCGTCCACTTGTTTTGGAGTCATGACGCTTGGGTTAGGATTTGGGATAGACGAGGGGGAGATCTTTGGAGAGTGTGGGATAGGTTTCGTTGGAATGGGAAACACAGGCTTTTCAAACATAATTTCGTCAGGTCGGTAGAGTTCTGGAGGTTTCGGAGGAATTGGTTCTGGTGGTAACGCTCGCTCCTGCTCCAGAATCGGTTTCACTGGAAGGATCACTGTAACATAACAACGATTTCTATTACAATATTGCAGTGGATTTATACCCTGAAAATAAAGTAGTGAGTATACTTATGTTTGACTTACTCTATTGTTTCAAGAACTTACTATTTGACTAAAATAACCCTGAAAATAAGTTTAATTCATTGATTGATAGGTTGAAAACGTACCGGGATTCCTAAGTACTTTTGGTTTTTATTAATTGACTGCATTGTCTCCACAGACCAACATCATGTTGCAATGAAAACTTACTCTAAGAAGTTATATAGTTTCCCGGGATTATATCTAATTTTCTGTGCAGTGCATTTTATTAGATAGATCTATCATCATATTCTGATTACGTTGAGTTAAAATTATACAGTAGGTAATAATTTTGTATCCAGTACCTAATGTGACCTAAAAAGGACGAGCTGTTTTTACACTAATGATTATTTTCAAACAAAATATATTTCATGCTAAAAGTAGGAGTTGGATGGGTTCGCGTCTACACACATACGTTCCACAAAGTTTGTTCACTGAGAAATATGGATGTTCGCAAAAAATAATATTACTGTCCTTGTTTTCGAAATATCAGGGTTCATGAATCTTAGGAAATTGAATTTTATTTGAAACGATATAATGAATATTTCTCAGTGCACATTTTGATTTAAGTATAGCAAGCATTGTATAAGCGTATTTTTCATGCACTATTAATAATTTATTTGTAGATACCTAGATACTTGATATTATGTTTATAAACTCTTACCTGTTTGTTCTAGAAATGGCTGACATAGCGATAGATTGTGCTTTGATAGCAATAAGAATATTAAGGTAAAGAAATAGGGTTCCTAAAGCATTCATTGTATACATAATTATTCTCTAAAGTTCTTTTTAGTGGCCTACTAGACGATTTCAAGATGTCGTGTCATAAATCAATGTTAAATTGTATGTAATTTAAATAAATGTTAATGTAGTACATAATAACTATTTCTTTCCTTTTTCGGACCTTGAGCGTGCATGACAACAATTCCACAAATATGTCAAAATGGCGCACTGTCTCATACATAATTATGTCACGCTTGAATTCTACTTAAGACGGTTACAGCATTCTTACTTGCCTCTTTCGCTTCATCTACATTCATCAATCTTCATGCATCATCATCAATCATCATGCATTTAAGAGAAGGTTTATCAATCGTATCTATTAAATTCTGTACTATCATATCTTTTATCTTTATACAATTTCGTAGGCTATCTACTGAATGAAATTGAAAACTAGCAGTACCTACATTTATTTAAATCTGGGTTTCGAACCCAAGATTGTAATCACTTTTTGAACTAATTTCACCTGACCTGGGTACCAAGATAATTATCATCACCCATCGGGTGGTTAACTCATTCATCTCGTCTTTTCGTTTATGGTTTAGAATCCATATTTTAGCATTTATGAATTCTTGTCATAGCAGTTGGGAGTCGAACCCAGAAATCGTCTTCTGCATTAGATTCTATGTTTTTCTGAGCATTAACTTTAAATCCTTTTTGGATTCTCGGTTCTTGTTACTAGATTTTGGTTTGTCGAATACTTACACCATAATACAAAAGTAGCGTGGTTATTCTGTGGTAGCGTGCCACTGGACTGGTAGGTCGCGATCACTGTCATCCCAATCAATACCAATATGCATACCATCGCACGTCAATACGACACCTAAGTTTATTTCAGACGATCTTGTTGTGCCGGATGTCAATCTTCTAATCTTCTAGTTTAAATAATAAATGTAGCTGTTTTGTTTTGGTCATATCTAAACTAAAATGTCACTGAAACTGTAACCTATCTTCCGAAGTAAGTATATTAATGCCGTAATCATTCGATAGTAACTCGACGAGTGGATTCTGAAGACCTTATTAGCCAATTAGCACGCTAGATATTCACTGAATTTATGTAAGTAGGTTTAGTTGTTTCTTATGTGATAAATATAAAAATACTTATTTTAAAAATTATGAAAGGTAATAACCATAATAATTACTGTACAGTATTACTTAGGTACAGTAATATTTTTATTTTATGTAGCTACATCTGTGGTACGTAGGTAATATCGTTCATCCAATAGGAGAGCGTTGCCGTAATGATAATGAAAGCGGCCATTTTACCGCGCATTTTTTAAAACCATTAGATTGTCGATGGTCGTGGTGGATATTATAATTTTATATATAAGAAAATACTAGAACTATGAAAAAACGAATCATCATAATTTAAGTGGTTATAAGGACTTTTTAGTGCTGAACTTGTGAAACTGAAATGATTTACCCATGATGGCTGTAGGCAAGGACTTTGACAAACAGGCAGACATAATATTACTTAGGAATTATTGAAGACATGAAAATGTCAGTGGGTTATTTATGTGTGCGTGTGTCTGTGTAATGGTTAAGTCTGGTAACGTGGTGGTTAGCAGACAGACTTAAGAAAATGACAGATGTCGTTAGTGTCAATGTGTGCATGTTCTGCGTGTAAGTCTATAGCAGCTAGGTGCCACAGTCGTTGTTTCAAGAGACTGTGTCCGCCTTTTTCAACGTCTTTAGAACTTTGTCCGAAACTACATAGTTAGGTACCTGTGCAAGAAATCCTGTGTTTAATGCTGGCAATCAACTTGATGTGAAAAACGTGCTTGCCTATTTCTGCGGCAAAGAGCTTCTAACATTAAAGTTCCTTTCAAAATTGTATTAGGTTGGTACGGTGTTTATTCATCAAAATACAGCTGTTGATATTGCAGTTTATGATTGCATTTCCTTTCCGTTCCGTTGTATTTGGGAGCACAAACCTGTAGCCTGCAGGTCAGCCAGTGACGCACGGCATCGGTTCGCAACCTGTTGCGTCGTCCCGAGTTCCCGACTTACCCATTCTGTAGTGATTCCCTCTACACTTTCATACACCACAAAATTCCCTAACTGTGGGCATTTGTGTATATTTCTGTGTAAGTAATTTACATACTATTGTTTCAATTTATACGGTACGGTACTACACCAGAATTTTCTTTTAAGATGTGTTCCGCGAGGTGCACCTACACCAATCTCAGCTTAATGAATGCTATGCTCGATCACATTCTTGCTCGTAATTTTTTATTTAATTAACGTTGTCCCACACTTGGATTTTCTCCTGTGTTGTGACTCACAACGAACGCACCAACATCTTGTGCGTTAACAACGTTGTGCAGTGCAGTCTTTGGTTGAGATTATTCTCACAACCAATGACATAGACCGCACGGAGACCGGCGACCGGAGATATTCCGATCCGCGATCGAGGTCACTTCAATGTTTCGACTTGAATGTTACAGGATATGCTAGCTGGCTAGCAACTCACATACTTAGGGCGAACACAATGAAAAATATCGATGGAAGATAATATTTAAAAAGATACTTCCAATAATGTTTAATATAATCACTTCTCGAACATTACAATACTTACGTATCTATCCACATTTTAACTATTTCCCTATCGTTCTAATCATGTACATTCTAAATTCTGTCTGAAAGAAATCAACCTATTCTCTTTCTCCCCTTTTCACACCTCTTTTTGTGTTCTATGACATACCTATTCCTTTTTAATTTTCGTTGTCTTCTTCGCACAATGAGAGTTGTAGTTGTCGTAGGATTCGTAGGAACAAAAAATGTAACACGTTGACTGTGCAGCTATGATGAGCGAGGCTATCCCCATAAGTGTAAATGCAAATTGTTGATTACTGCGTGAGGTATAAAACTGATATTATAATAGCATTGTTTTTAATTTTTGTATACCCCCTTCGTATAAATAATATTTTGATTAAGTAAGCCCCATCCGTGTGGCATCCACCACATAGGGCCGATGCCGATTCGGAGTCGCGGAGACCCTATCGGGTAACCGGGCTCCGGCTCGACTTGTAGGAAAAGGAACGGGGTGGTTTTTAGTCAGAAAGAGTCTGACACTCCCTCCCGCCTCACCCAGGCGGGAACAGTCATTCGATGATTTTCTCCCCTTAAAAAAAAATCCGTGTGGCATGCGCGTATAATCTCGTAAAGGCATGCCCCACCGATGGGTCATGCACGTACAATGAGCAACTCGATATGCCCCACCCGTAGGTCATGCACAGTGAACGTGTTAATATCATTTTTCGTTTAAATAAATCCCATCTATGGGTGAGATGTGAGGATTCTTCTGGGTGCGCTTCGTGGAATACCTCTGTTTTTGTCATCTTTAATGAGATCATTATGGCTGATCGCCTACGGCGACGTCGATACATTTTCTGCTAGTATTTAATAGGCACATAAATTATTTCACTACAACCACGTTCCCGTGGGATAAAAGTAGCCTATGTGTTACTCCAGACAACCTAACCCAATCCTAAATTTCAACACGATCTTCAGCCGTTTTGACGTGATTGAGTGACATACACACAAACTTTCGCATTTATATCTAATATCAGTAAGATGAGGAATGCCAGCGGTGCGTGTCACTGGCTGGCGCTGGCACTTTCAAGACGATCAAGTTGCCTCGTCGAGTCGTTCGTAAGTACTTTGCTTTATATTTTTCTAACGTATGCTCATAGATTTGTCGTTTGGCGTTATGATTTATGTCGTAAGATAAGGTAAAGGTATAAGATCTTCAACTTATCAGTAAATAACTAAATCAAACCACAAGTTACCTAAAAGTTGTTACAAGTATAATGATTAATAGTTACAATTTCATCATAGAGTGAACACTACTCGATAACTTTTACCTAACCTTACGTGGACGCCACGCCGAAGAAGAACCCGCCCATGAATCCGACAGAGAAGCAATTGTTCTTCTTTATGAAGCGAAGTACTCTGTCTAGCCACTGCTGGCTCTCCCCTGCAGTCTCCTTGACTCTGTCCCAGTTCACGTTTATGTATCCGAACTCCGCGGCGAAGTGAAGGAGGATGATGCTGCCTCCGAGGCCAACGGCCGCGATCCTCCCCACTCGGACGATCGACACACCCGCACCCCAACCCGTTATAGTCCCTAGTAGGAGATTTTGACTAGTTGTATGTTTAATACCATCTATTGTGATGTCTAAAAACGATTGGGTCTCCTTTGGTTTCAGTTCCTTGTCGCCCTGCTTCGGTAGGTGCCGCAAGTCAGTGTGCGGTATGGGCCGCGCCATCGGGAAGCATGTTTTTATGTTGTTATTTATCTTTAGGTACAAAATTGTTACGTTTGTTTTGATAGCTTGATGGATGACAGATTGGGCTTGTCATTATAACAGCTGCTCTCTGCCCTACTCTGCTTTATGTCTGGCATAGATCTGCAAGACCTACTTACAAGAACTGATAGAATTCGAGGGTAGAATGGTAGAATGTAACACATATATTTATGAAATACATGTGGCTAAAGTGGAAGCTTGTAGATGACACCAATCTAGCACTGTTTTGGTTATTCTCTCTTACATATACGTAGTTATAATCAGAAGTGTGCTCAACCGAAGGCGCTTATTTAACGTATAGTGCTATTTGCTCAATCAATGTAGCTATTTATACTCGCACCTTTATATTCCCCTTCAGGGATTAGAAGGCATGATGTTATGTTAATGCTATATAATATTAATCACAATGTTACTCAATGAGTAGCTAGTCCCACGCGTTTTCATACAAATACCCGACCCGGTGATCGAAACCGGAACCACTCAGTAGTCGCACTAACAGCCAACAACGACTGCACTAGGCAGTCCAGTAATTAAAACATATTACAACGAACTAGGTCCCTATATTTCAAAATACCCAAATCAAATTTATTCCGTGTTGGTGACTAGCATGATAAATATTTTACCTATAAATACAATATTGTTAATCCTGTCACACTGTCATCCTGAAAATTTCTGGTACTAATCAGCTGTACTAGCCTGTTGTGTACATTGCTTGTGGTTTGTGCTAAGTTCAGTGCGCTGACTGGTCGGTACTGATACATGTCGCGAGTGGCTCATAGCTGCGCTACCTAGAAGCTGCACAAATACTAACTACATGCTAACTTCAAGCTGGGGGAGGGAGGGGTCAAACAAAAATAAAAGTGACTACGCGGGCGGCGAGGACGCGAGACTTAGCTCGCTACCTCGCCGGCTCGCTAGCATGCAACACTATTAATTTCATTGAATGTATTTTTCAATAAAACCATTTTTTCACTTGTTAGGTATTGTCCATATCATATCTAACTATTAAATATAATATTTACATGACATATCGGACACTGACACTTGGAATACGACAACACGCCGTCCGCCTAAATGCTGCTCGTGATTGAAAAAAAGATTGAAAAATATTGAACACCTATTAAAAGCTAAAATTAATAATAACTATCTAAGTTAACGTATAAAGAGGTTTTTTTGTTATAAAATTTCGTGTTTTTAATTCAATGTTTCGTTAAACACTGCAGTCGTCGGTCGCGCGGGGTCGTGGTCGCGAATACTGCAACGGGAATCAAGTCTTATCACAAATGCAGTAGAGTTTATATTGCGAAGCAGATTGCACGCGAGCCCCGCAGGGCACAACTTAGAACTACTTAAGTTAGAAGACCCCGGACGAGCGAAATACAAATAAAATAATTAGCGGCAGCGACTCACGCCGCTCCGCGCCCTACGTATATAATTCGTGCATTATCGATCGATACATTGTTACATCTAGATGTATATATAATTTTAAATAACCGCACATCCTATCTAGGTACAGTCTGCGCCGGGCAGTCGTTTATTCGTCAACTTTGATCATGGCGGAGTCACTTACAATGTTATACTTAGTGGCGACCTCAGTAAGCGTACAGTACGCAATGTGTAGGAACTCGGCACTTTATTGTTTGGCTTCACTCGCAGTACGCCAGTAGTGCACTTCTATCGAAACTGATTCTTATAAACTAGATGTAAATAAGTTAAAAAACATTACAAATAGCAACATGACGTCAGACTTAGCGGTACAGAAGACTGGCTTACAAGATGTGAACGGATCAATGATGGCTTTAACAAGTAGTATAAAGTGAAATTATATAAAAGTCAGTAAATAATTCATTAAGAAAATGACGACTTCAAAAAAAGTAATAAATAAATATAACAATAATAATTATTGTCAACGAGACAAACATCAAACCAGCAAGTTATTGTCAGAGTATATACAAACACTAGGTCAACGTTGAAGTCAACGTACAAACAAACATTAGTTTACTTAGTATGCAATATATGAGTGTCCCCGTCACGGGTCCGTGTTGAACTGGCTGCCACATGGCCGGGACACGACATGGACTAGAACGCCCATCTCTTGTGTAACAACAAACCTCAGGCGGAGAATGCAACCAACCAATTAAACAATAAAACTGAATAACAAATGTCTTGCACGTCGCGTCCTAAGTACATCGTTACCTCACGAAACAATTACACATGTGTACATACAAACTCCATGTTTACGTTCACAATACAAATAAACATGATTTTACTCAAATCGTTTCGATAAAAGCACACACATGTTACATTACATCAATCAATGAATCTAGTTTCTCGCTCTTGGAAGATACAATTATGGAATACAAGATACAGCTGTATAAAACTTTATAAAATTGTAGCAACATTTTCAGTCAAGTCAAAATAACTTTTATTACGTGAGGCATTAATACACAATTTGATTTTCATTTATACTCATTCGCTGATTCTTTCTTTCTCTTTTATAGAACATGTTTCTAATTCATTAATATTATTTTCATTCAAAGTTTACCAAATATGATTTTATTTGAATTCGAAATATATAAAAGCCCACGTAAACAAAAGCGCATTTTAACTTTTGTAATGTAATAAATTAACAATTGTTTGAAGCTATTATAATCTCGGGATATTTCATTCACAACTTACGATAGACAAAATTGAGATTTAAGGTCATTCTTTGTTCCGAGATTACAGTTAGCTTTAAAAAATGGAGAGTACATTCAAACCATGATTGTAAAGTATTGAAAGTAGTACATAAGAGCCGTGACAGTAAGTTCTTGAAACAATATTATTATTTATTCTTAGTCTGTTATCACTGTAGTATGGAATGGGTGGGGAGTTAGGACAGGAACGTAATCTCAAGTAGTATTACTTTACATGCCATTGTAAAGAGGCCGACCTACCGAACATTTTCTACAGATATCAGGTACTTCTACGCAATGGAACACGGTTGTCAGTGCTATAAAAATATTACAAAAAATATGATATTTTTATTTCTTGCCGTGCATTGCTGAGTTGAAAGAACTTTTGTTACTGACTTTATGCGGATTTTAGTCGATAATTTTCTTTGTAATACGTATATAGACACTATGTATGTGGGTAGTGTCGGCTCGATACATCACATGTAGGGGGAGTTAGTACAAACTATGTAATTTGTATGTAGATAACCACACGCGGGGACGAAAACTCAGGAGAAAATACAACAAAATATGTATGTAATATCGTGACGTGATGGCGGTAATGACAATGCAACGTATGCATACCATTGTCCAAAGTTACGTACTATTATTTTATTTGTATTTGTTGTCCTCGCATGAGATTACTAGCACGAGATGACAAGTTTTGTACATTGCATAATATCGGCAAGTATTTTGTAGATGTGGAGTGGTAGGAGAGTAAGGAGTAGTCGGGGAAGCACTGCGCTGAGGGTGGCGGGCGGGGCGCGGCGCGCGCGGGGCCAGCGGGCCCGTCAGGCGCCAGCCTCCTCACCTGCGGGCCGCGCCGCCTCGTCCGCC